CATACATACATACATACATACATACATACATACATACATACATACATACATACATACATACATACATACATACATACATACATATATATATATTTGCATAAATAAATATATGTATAATTTACATAAATTTACACATTTGTATACATATTTATCTATTTACATATATATTTGCATAAATACTTATATATGTATAATTTTAGAGTGATTTCATTGACCAACCCAAGCTTGGACCGGTCCCGAGCCCAACCCGATTGCATTAAATTATAGTGCAAGATGGGTTCGAATTGGGAAGATCAGGTTTGACCTTAGGCTCCATCCGGGTTCATTTATATTTTAGAAATTAGTATCTTTTACTAATGTACTTATGAAATTAGTAATAATTTATTTTCTAGTTTAAGTATTACTAAATACCAATCTTTAATTTATTATTATTATTCATCATTAATAAAGAACTAATAATTTGTTAATTGTTAATTATTAATTATTAATCATATTTATTTATTTTAATAATTTCTTAGTGATTAATTTACTTTCAATGGTAATTAATAAATAATAAATATTTTTAATTAATATTATATTATTATTATTTATTAAATTTTATTTATTTTAGTAAATATTTACTAGTTTATTATTTTATGTTAGATGTTTTTAAATTAATTAATTTTTAATATATTTATTATTTTATAATTAAATTATAATATTTTTAAATAAATTTACCTCTACAAATAACTAAAATCCGTGGTTATAGCCATACATAACCTTTAGCTACGGATAAAGTGTTACTTAGCCACGGATAAAAGGACTGTAGCTAAAGATAAATTTCACAGTTATAGCCACAGATAACTAAAAACCGTGGCTATAGTTGTAAATAGCTTTTGCCCACGGAGAAAATGCTCTTTAGCTACGAACTAAATGACCGTAGCTATTAATTAACTTCTACTATTGTGACTTATAGCCACGAATACCTTTAAACCGTGGCTATACATATCTTTTAGCCACGGACAAAATTTCCATAGTTAAAGTTTATCTTTTGCTACGGATATGAAGCTGTCCGTGGCTATATCCCATGTTTTAGGTACGGTTTTTATGACCATAGCTAAAATACAGTAGCTATAGCCCCATTTTCTTGTAGTGGTCCAAGCCAATGAGTCTATTTTAGACTCTTTCCAGGTTCACCAATAAGATTTCGGCATCACAAATTTTTTTAAAACAATTTTGAAAATGGTCTAAAAGTAGATCAATTAATGAAACAAGACTTTGTTGATCCTATGTGTTTTGATGATAACAAATTCATTGAGAGTACTAATGATATGTGCTAAGTGTACAACTTTGCCAAATGACTTCCTAGAATGATCCAAATGCTTTTGGGTAGCTATATATCAACCTATCTCTCTTCAAAGAAGGTGTTTGCTACAAAGAAGAAAGAATAAAAAAGAAGCATCAAGCTATAGTAGTATTTTATTGTGTTATTTTCTTAGGACATGATGAAAATATTGCAAAAGGATGCACACTTTGGCTTTCATAGACTAAATTTGGTTGACCTAATCAATGGCTAGAATTAGTTTTGTTTCTTAGGTGTTCCTGGACCCACAAAAATTATAAAGTATTATGGAGGAAAAAATTATGGAAGCCTAAGGAAATGAATTGTAGACCTTTGGCACCAATGTCTCAAAGCTTCTAAGGTTAAGAGTGGTCAATATAGTTGACTACCCTTCACATTAGAGAATGGTGTCACCTAGTAGTCGACTACCTATGATAATTGAGGCCAATGTTATTGGACATTACTTGGTAGTTGACTATATAAAATCAAACATACACAATCAATGTTTGGTTGATAGAAGTTCAACTGATTGTAAGGCTTATTGGAAGGGTTAGAAATCAGATTAGATATGGCTGAACCAAGCTTACTGGCTGGCTGAATTTAAAAATTTTTTCTAACCCCACTCGGGAACCTATTTCCCGATAATTTTGAAATATGAAATTTCAAGATCGATCTTACACTGAACCGGACCAGATTTAAAACCAAAGTAAAATATGCTTATACCTATTACAAAGACCACATAGGCAACCACTACTGGAAAATTTATCTATTGAGGCAGTCATAACTACCTGTAGAAGTCCACAAAGCACCTCTAAAACAAATAGAAGGCAACCAAGTGACTACCTCTAGAAGCCCTACCTTTATATGTTTAGAGGCACATGATTGAGAATTTGAGGTGGATAGAAAAAATGCTTCAAAAATGGTTTTTAGAGGCACATGCAACTACCTCTATTGCACTGGCACTAAAAGCCCTTTATAGAGGCAAGTATGCCTCTAAAAATCCACTTTAGAGGCGGATTTAACTACCTCCAATTCATTTTGAGGCAACTTTTATGTGCCTCAAAAAGTAATATGATCAAATACCTATTTAAATTTTGGAGGCACTTTTGGCCACCTCTAAAGATTTGTTATTAAAAAAAGTTATTTTTCATTATACAAAAAACTTGTAATAACCTATATCGTTATATAAAAAACTTGTAATAACCTATATTTAACATTGAAACAAAATATGTATGAAATATATCTAAACAACTTCATCCAAAATATACAACCGAACCATAGGTTATGAATATTGTTCCATGATAATTAAACAAAAACAATCGAAGAATACACCACTTGAGTTTCATATTCTTTCTAATAACAAAAAGAAACAAAAAAAAACACTATATTCAACCCTCATTGTCTTTCTTTTTTGAAAACTTAAAAACAAGATAAAATCCAAAACAAAGTCCAAGTTATAAAGACAAAAATGCTCCTTTTAGCCCTCATCCAATCTGATGGAGGGTGATTTGACCCGACCTCCTAAGTAAGGGACACGTGGATATGACTCGACGTAAGTGACAGCTCAGCATGACAGCTTGGCCACAACTCGGCGTAATGAGCTCGCTGAAACCACAGCAGAACAGCTCGCCACAAGATAGCTCGGCTTGTTGCAAGGTAGCCGCTATTGGAGCTCGCAATAAAAGGAGCTCGCTACGAAGGAGCTCGCTATTGAGTAACCCGGAGTCTTCGGGAAACTTCTCATTCGACAAGACCGTGCTTGTCAGACTGCTCCCACGTCTCTTGTCTGATGGCACAGCACCTGCCAGCCCAGAGGACTATGCCCACGTCTCATGTCAGGCAGCGTCATGCACGCCAGCTCTACATAACGTCTCTCAGCTGACAGGACCGTACCCTGCGATGGATACCTATACCAATTGAATCAGCCTGACGAATAGCGACTGTAGCAGAGAATCAGAGGTGGTTACACCCGATTTGACAGAGCATTAATATATAAGGGCTCCACTCCCCAAGGAAAAAGGTAATCGAAAAGTGTGCATCTCCACTCTTAGCTCATTTTCCTTTACTACTCTCTAAGCTTTCCACCGAGTTCTAACTTAAGCATCGGAGTGTTCCTGGCGGGCGAGCTCCCCGGGAATCCTTCATCTTCTTCTCCTTCTCAGGTGTTGTCCATTGCAAGCTAGGAGTGAGGCCCCTGTCAGCTAGGAGTGACCAGATTGGGCTACATCATTTGGCGCTGTCTGTGGGAATCGCTTCAAAAAGCCTCTCACCAAACACTGCAACTTTCAATAAGACTTCAATGGCTTCCTCCAGTAACGCCGGACGAAGTGCCGACCAAAACACTTCCGGGAAACGACCTCAGCTCCCAACTGTCTGCATTGGCCAGTTCACTATACCCCTCTCCATGAATGGAGTTCCTACCCTGAGCGCACCTCAGGTCATGGTGCTAGTAAATGCTCCACTCCCTTCGCCGGTAGAGGCGACCTTTGCAGAACCATCAATTCTCCCGGTGGTCGGACAGAACCAGCTA